TTACCAGAGACAGTGAGGGGGGTGCTGGGACCGGCCGCCCCCCCGCCCGACTCACACCAGTATTCACCACTGTCACTTTCAAAGACAAAACTCATCCTACAGACAGAACCAGCCAGTCTCCCCCAGTCTGCTCCACACTGGGTCCTGGTTCCTCTGCTGGTGTTCCTCCTCACAGTCCATCCAGCAGAGCTGCCGTCCTCCTCACAGCTCAGAGACACGGAGTCCTTTCTGAAGAACTGAAGGCTGCTGGGACTCACAGTCAGAGCCGCTGTGGAGGGAAGCAGAAGCTGTGAAGAAGCTGTGCAGGAAAACCCACCGAGCCGGGGGCCAGTTTTTAACCCCGTTTGGGGGCCTCCAGTTTGCCAAACCTGCTAACTTCTACTCAAAAACATCTTAAATTGGGCCATTAAAGGAAAAACAACAACCACTGTGGGACCTGGGAATGACAGAAATTCTAACACAGAAAAATAATATAATAAATTCTAAACTGAAGCGGAACTTTAACGATAGCAGAAAATAAACAAACTGTAAATCGACTTAAAACGAAGAGCTGATTTTGCAGCAAATAGAAAGGTGTTCAGGAGAAGCTGAAAAACAAGCTCAGGGCGATAGAGCACACACGAAAATGTGACGTCAGGTTTGAAAAAGATCCATTTTTATCTAGCAAAGAAGCAGCAAAGATGCAACAAAGATGCAGATAAAACTCATGACCTTGAGGGCCGTCAGTGTGTGAGGAGGCAGCAGACAGAGGAAGAGGCTGTTTCCCCTTTTTTAAGATAAAGTTCTGCTCTGAAAGTCAGGCTAACAGGGTAGATTTATGTCCCTGTTTCCTTGTTTTTTAACAGAAAAAAAACAACTGGGCTCAACCATAGAGTTTCCATTATGTCGGATTAAACTTTCCTGTTTTGAGCAGCCTGACTGGTTGAATGTCGGTTCAAACTGGTTTGAAGCTCACTGGTGAAGAAGCAGCTGTTGATGATTATTATGATTCAATGGAGGAACAAACAGTT